CTTCTTTGTCTTAAATTCGCGTTATCATGTTGGACATTTTGCGTTTGCTCAAAGACATTTGGGCGTTATTTGTGCATTAAAACAAACAGTTCACTGTTACTGAATTTTGTGCAAAAAACTTCACAGGACAGCTAAGTATAATTTTTAAAATACAAATCTACAATGTTACTGCAAATAAATGTGATTCCTTTAACTTGGCTTCACTTGAATCTAAACGATTTTCGACAAACTTTTCCACTTCTGGAAGGGTTATCTTCTATACCTATTTTACTTATTTTGGAGTTCCTTCATATTATAATCAACATTAACGTGCAGTTTACTCTTTCGTAATAGCATAGGAAATTCCTTCTATATGAGCCTACTCCAAATTTTAATAGCATAGGAAATTCCTTCCATATGAGACTACTCCCAATTTCCCCAAAATTAGCATAGGAAATTCCTTCGATATGAGACTGCTCCCAATTTCCCCAAAATTAAATAGGAAATTCCTTCGATATGAGACTACTCCCAATTTCCCCAAAATTAATGGCCATTTCTCTAAATAAACCTAACTAAAATGACGATTTAACTAACTAAAAGGCTTTCGCAGAATTCAATCAACTGAATGAATCAAAGTAGTGTTACTAAATATACGCTAAAGTACCAAGTCAAATTTCATCATGAAAGTTGCATGGACTTTGGCGACTACTGTGCTTTCACGACGGTGGGATTCCAGACACCCAGAGCAGGACCAGATCATGTGGGGCACGTTCAGTTATAGGCAGATCGTATTGCTGGCAAAGATAAAGGAGACTGGAATGGCTGCTGTCAAGGACCGAGAAATGAGGCCCAAGGCAGGGCAGAGCTAGAAGATTTCCGTTAGCGGTCGGTGAACGTTCATCAACGGCGTTCAGTTTTGTCAGTCACTGCGCCCGAGGCGCCTGCCGTCATCCCAACTCACTTGCCATCAGGTCCTGGTGGATGAAGAATGCAAAAATGCAGCATTTGGTACGGGAATCTGCTATCACATCCTCGTTACATAAAATGTTGCATGGATGTCTCATCAAAACCGAGTTCATGAGGTTAGAAGGGCCTTTTTCATTCTCACCAGTCTAACTATCGACAGCTGGAATATGCCTGCCGCTTTTTTCCTTTTAATCGACTATTGTTTGAATGTTAGTTCACGAGCTCACCTGTTATCTTAATTAACAAACATCATTAAGTCGTTAAACTGGCGGAGGGCGGTTGTTGGTATGCGTTGCTGGGCGTTATTAATGTGATAAGTTAGGCGTGTCATTGCATGGTTGTGCAGGACTGAGATGAAGGGTTAACTGCGGCCTTTTGTCACGTCAGTGGGTTCCACGCACTTGTACTGTCTCATCTGAGAAGTTAATTGTCACCAACGTTCTTTGACCGAACTATGTACTGTGCAGTCTTATCGATACTGGCGGCTTCCTTGATGCTTGTTTGCTGAAACTAAGCCGAAGAAACAAGTATGGATTTATTTGCTCAAGTTGTGAAAACCTCTGCGACTGCGGTGGGATTTGAGCTCACACCAGCAAGGTTTTAGTACAGCTAACTTTCTAGTCGAATAGGCGACGAAGCCTCTTCCGGGAATCATGAAAGGAATACTAAAACCTTCCCTTTGCTGGCGTGGGTTCGAATTCCACCGAGGCCGCTGCGTTTTTTTTAAATTTATTGTGCAATGAGTGTTTAATCGCCCACA